TGAAATTGAAAAATGATTGAATTGAGGGTAAATTGGGCTCTTCTACCGGTAGAATATTGATTATCTACGTGTAGAAAAATTCCAAAGAGCTCTTGTACCGATAGAACGTTGATTATTTACCAGTAGAAGAATTCTAGAGAGCTTTTCTACCAGTAGAACGTTGATTATCTATCGATAGAAAATTTTCAAAGAGCTCTTCTACCGGTAGAACGTTGATTATCTATTGGTAGATCCTCTTAAATTTTCAAAAATTTAAAATAATTTTATCAATCCTCGGGTCTTGAGTCCTTTTGTTGAAATGATGTAATGTAGTAATATTAAGGACAAATTGATGTATATTAGATCTTGGAATGGTTAGGTAATTGAAATATACACAGGTTATGCGTTTAAGAGTGCCCGGTATAAGAGAGACTCCGCCTAAACTCCATGTTGTTTATGATTTCGGTGAAGAAGATGTTATGTCGTGGTGTCGGCTTATGCGGCATTCACGGGTACTTTTGCAGATTGATGGAAGATCAATGGCTTGACAAAAGACCTCCAGTTTTAGGGGCGTCACACACACAAAGTTCTTCGTTATCTTAAGGCAACTCCTGGTCAAGGTGTTTTTTTTGTCCTCTTCATCTCAGCTACAATTTAGAGCTTTTTGTGATTCAGATTGTGCTTCATGTCCTGAGACCCGCAGATCTATTATTGATTATTGTTCTTATTAGGCTTTTCTCTTATTTCTTGGAAATCCAAGAATCAATCTATTGTTTCTCGCTCTTTTTCTGAAGCAGAATACAAAGTCATGGCAGCTAATTTTTCTAAGCTTACTTGGTTGAGATATTGGTTGAGATATCTTCTTGTTGATTTTCAAGTTTCTCATCCACATGCATGATTGCTTTTTTGTGACAATCAAGCTGCTAAATCTGTTTTTCACGAACGTACTAAACACATTAAGTTAGAATGTTATCTTGCAATGTCAATTTGAAAATAAAATTTTGAGCAAATAAAAAATTTCAAGAGCTATTTTCGTACGTTTGATCGAAATGATATGAAATGTCAATAACTTGAGATAGATTGTGATGATGATACTTTATTTTATCACGAAACGATCTCGATAGCTCTTTTTCTTTGAATTTAAAACTCATTCTATTTTATTATATAAATATATTCTACTATTTGATTCCAACTAACATCATGAGTATGCATTTGTCTCTATCTGTGATGAATGAATGACTAAATCCCTAACTTTAAAGTCAACAAATTTTATTTTATTTTTTAAAATTTTTTTATGATATGGTGTTAGAATCAAAATGCAACTTGGAAATGACATTAATTAAGCACTTTCATTACTGTTATTAAAATGGATATTTATTATTGAGTTCTACCTCATTTGCAATTGTCAACTATTACTAACCTAATAATTCAACTCTGTTGTCCCTGTCACTTGTTGGTAATTAAAAATACATACTATTAAGACTGATTGCAATAATGTTTGATAAAATAACTGTTTAATGTGTGGTTTCCCTTTCAAGTTTCATTGCTAACCTATTATTTTAAAACAGGCACTGATATATAACCGAATTATGCCCGAATCTCGAGCATTTCTTTTTTCGGTAAGTGAATCTCAAGCGTTTTAGCGAACGCCGACCACACCATGATTTGACCTTTTCCATTAAAGCCAACTCCCAATGCCAAATACTCTCAGAAGTCAGAAGGCACTCTGCACGGACGACTTCTCATTTGTCCTATTGCCCCCTTCCAAGAAGGTGATTATGTAATCATTTAAATATGAGAAGAAAAAATGAATACAAAGATAATTTTTTTTAATTACACGCTTAATTGACTTTCTTTTAATAGTTCGGTTTTAGTTTAGAATTTATAAAATTATCTAAATGTTGGATCAGAATTTATTGTTAAGTCAATAACTGGATTCTCGTTATAAGCAGTATTAGCAAAGAAATTGTAAGAAGCAAAATCTCTTACCTTCAATATTTGATTTGATCTCATTTAGAGAAGGTGAACAAGGATCAAACTGTTGGTCCTGCAAAACGAACAAATTGCTAGAGATTGGAGATAGGCCGATCGTATGTACTCCGATAACTAAGTCAGTAACGACTCTAAAAGAAAATAAAGTAATTTGAAAGGATTTTTGTGTGTACCTTTGACTTGGGGATAGCTTGATTTTTATAAGATTGTATGAGAAGGTCTTTGGCACCATTTCAGCCTTTGGATGTACTGAGCACATCTAATATTTTTAGCTGAATCCTTTTGGAGGCTAGGATCTCTCTTGAATCTCCTCCCCGTTTGTATATTATGGCACGATATGCCAAACGTTTTTCTATGATTGTGGCAATGCTTCTCTCAATTCAGCCTCGTCTAACTCTCTTACTTGTTGAAGGATCTCTCCATAATGAATTGTTGACGTGTTGTGCTGTTGATTTGGCCATTGTGGCTGCTCAACCCTTCGAGCCGGGCACTAGTCATCTGCTTGGTTTGACTTTTGTGGATGTTATTTTTTTTGTGTTTCTCGCACGTGTTCTTGGTCACGTGATTTAAGACACACATGTGCTCATTAACAGTCTTAATTTTACACAATCATTTTGTGTCCTTTCAGAAACCATAAATTTGAAACACCCAAAAGTCATAAATTAAGAAAGGTACAATTTTGAAAGATTAAAAACAATTCAGACAATATTCATCATGTTGGCTGTGACCTCTACTAGTATGTTCTTGCCTTAAGTTTAAATCGGCCAATTTGCAAATACATTTTTCCCACCTTTTGTTGGCAGAATGTTGACTCACTGTAAATAATGAAAGCAATAAAATATCTCCCAAAGTTTGCAATGGTGGGATTTTTCTTTTTGATACTTAGTAGGACTTTTCTTGAATATCTTTGTATGTCTCTCTTGTTTTTTTTGGTTAGGTGAATATCTCTTGCGCTCTCTGACTGGAGAGGATATTTTTTGGAAGAGAAACTATGCGCTTTTCAAAAAGGTCGGAAGAAATGCGCCGGATTTCAAATATATATATATGTATATATTTATATATTATCGACTAGCTGCTTTTTATGCAAAAAAACAAAAAGAGTTTATACGGGTTTAATGGTAGAATGTGGTTGAAGAATTTTTTTTTAATATTTTTTTTGCTGGATATCAGGATAGTTGTGTCCCAATATACATCACAGCACTATGACCTCACCTTCCAATATAATCCAAGTCATGAAATCGAGAATAATGTAGTGATAAAAAAGAAGAGGAAACCTCGAGTTTCTTTCTTCGAACTTGGGGAAACAAAAAAAAACACTTCCATCTTCTTCGACTAAAAAATATATAAAGTACGTTCTTACATCGCCCAAAAAAAAAAAATTAATTAATTCGAGTGGAAACTGGATACGCCATTATAACTGAGGGGTCAATAGAAATCTCCTTCTCACTCAAAAAAAAAAGGTATAATGAGCAATACTTAACATCAAGTGAATGTTAGGTACATCAATCAACGGTGGTTTTGCATTAATTAAAGAGATAAAACAGGACTGACCTTGCCTGATAAACAGATAAACAATTGAGAGAGCGAATAAGGAGGACGAAGGGCAACAAACACCTCTCCAATACGTAAGGCATAGAGAATGACAATTAGTTATAGAATAATGCATGATTGCAGTGCTGTAATAAACTAAGAAGCAATATCTGACTTCTGCGCCTATAAAAAACCGAGGCTGAAACGAGGCTTTGGAGGAGACAGCCTTTGAGACAAGTGAAGCAAGTATGGGAGATGAAGGAGTTAACAATGACAGCACCGCACAAGTTGAGAAGAAGCACAACCAGGACCACACCACCACCACCACCACCACCAANTGTCCTTTCAGAAACCATAAATTTGAAACACCCAAAAGTCATAAATTAAGAAAGGTACAATTTTGAAAGATTAAAAACAATTCAGACAATATTCATCATGTTGGCTGTGACCTCTACTAGTATGTTCTTGCCTTAAGTTTAAATCGGCCAATTTGCAAATACATTTTTCCCACCTTTTGTTGGCAGAATGTTGACTCACTGTAAATAATGAAAGCAATAAAATATCTCCCAAAGTTTGCAATGGTGGGATTTTTCTTTTTGATACTTAGTAGGACTTTTCTTGAATATCTTTGTATGTCTCTCTTGTTTTTTTTGGTTAGGTGAATATCTCTTGCGCTCTCTGACTGGAGAGGATATTTTTTGGAAGAGAAACTATGCGCTTTTCAAAAAGGTCGGAAGAAATGCGCCGGATTTCAAATATATATATATGTATATATTTATATATTATCGACTAGCTGCTTTTTATGCAAAAAAACAAAAAGAGTTTATACGGGTTTAATGGTAGAATGTGGTTGAAGAATTTTTTTTTAATATTTTTTTTGCTGGATATCAGGATAGTTGTGTCCCAATATACATCACAGCACTATGACCTCACCTTCCAATATAATCCAAGTCATGAAATCGAGAATAATGTAGTGATAAAAAAGAAGAGGAAACCTCGAGTTTCTTTCTTCGAACTTGGGGAAACAAAAAAAAACACTTCCATCTTCTTCGACTAAAAAATATATAAAGTACGTTCTTACATCGCCCAAAAAAAAAAAATTAATTAATTCGAGTGGAAACTGGATACGCCATTATAACTGAGGGGTCAATAGAAATCTCCTTCTCACTCAAAAAAAAAAGGTATAATGAGCAATACTTAACATCAAGTGAATGTTAGGTACATCAATCAACGGTGGTTTTGCATTAATTAAAGAGATAAAACAGGACTGACCTTGCCTGATAAACAGATAAACAATTGAGAGAGCGAATAAGGAGGACGAAGGGCAACAAACACCTCTCCAATACGTAAGGCATAGAGAATGACAATTAGTTATAGAATAATGCATGATTGCAGTGCTGTAATAAACTAAGAAGCAATATCTGACTTCTGCGCCTATAAAAAACCGAGGCTGAAACGAGGCTTTGGAGGAGACAGCCTTTGAGACAAGTGAAGCAAGTATGGGAGATGAAGGAGTTAACAATGACAGCACCGCACAAGTTGAGAAGAAGCACAACCAGGACCACACCACCACCACCACCACCACCAATCTGAAAGAGCGGAAGGTCTCATGGGCAAAGCTGCGCCGAGTGGACTCTCTTAATTTGGAGGCTGGAAGAGTTTCTTCTACTCCAAACCATAGCTCCAAGGTCACATTCTTATATTCTTGTATTGGTCACCATACATGAAAATCTGCCTCTGTTTTCCCATTCTTTACAAAATAAAAAACCCTGTATATATGTTTGAACAGGCAGATTGGAAGAGGACATTGAGTTTGGCATTTCAGAGCATAGGAGTAATATATGGTGATATAGGGACGTCTCCTCTCTACGTGTTTTCCAGTACTTTCCCAGATGGGATTCACAACACCGATGACATTTATGGGGTGTTGTCCTTCATCATCTATACCATAGCTCTCATCCCCTTGCTCAAGTATGTCTTCATAGTATTGTGGGCCAACGACAATGGCGATGGTGTGTTCCTAATCACTTTCCTTTCCTTTATGCTACATATATATACTACTTTTAACTTGAACCACTTGGTTACCTCATACTGATTATAAATTTTGTAATTGGTGTTTACCTTACGTCACAAGTAAAGCAAACATAAGAAGCCACCAAAAGACGACCCCACCCCTTTGATTCCCTTAAGTGAACGGAAATTTTGGATAGGTAATGAAAATGAGTGTGTTTGTAGGCGGGACATTTGCACTCTACTCCTTGATATGTCGGTATGCAAAGGTCAGCCTAATTCCAAATCAACAACCAGAGGACAGGGAGCTATCCAACTATAGACTGGACACACCATCCAACCAATTGAAAAGAGCTCAAAAGATCAAGCAGAAGCTAGAGAGCAGCAAAATTGCAAAAATAGTGCTCTTCCTGGTCACCATCCTGGGAACATCCATGGTAATTGGCGATGGGGTTCTAACTCCATGCATCTCAGGTCAGTTGATTCAGTTTCTAATTATTTGCCTTCAGACACCACCTTTAAGTGTGAACATGTTGGAATTAATTGAGATTGTTATGGTCTTGCAGTCCTTTCCGCAGTGAGTGGAATAAGTTCCCTAAGCAAAGGTATATATATATATACTTTCAACTCCGGTGAAAGCCCACAAATCTTGCCAAAAAAGAGGGGCGGGGGTGAACTAAGAATGCTCTTGCCCTGTTGCATGTTCTAAAATAACTGCAATATATATGAACTATCACAAATATGATAGGATACATGGCTCTCAAATCTCAATTATATGATATATATTTCATTACTTTGATGTTCCAGATGCGGTTGTGGGTGTTTCAATTGCAATATTGGTCTTTCTCTTCTGTGTTCAGCAATTTGGCACTGATAAGGTGGGATACTCATTTGCCCCGGTCATCCTCTTGTGGTTTTTATTCATCGGTGGCATCGGTCTCTACAACTTATTCAAGTATGATTTGGGCGTTTTACGTGCATTCAATCCAAAATATATGGTAGATTACTTCAGAAGAAATGGGAAGAAAGGATGGATATCGCTAGGTGGAATTGTACTGTGCATCACAGGTGAATAGGTGTTAACGGTTGAACATTTTCTCTTTTTCCACCTTAATGGCTACTTTCTTCTCACAGAATTGCTGCATGAAACAGGGACTGAAGCCATGTTTGCTGATCTGGGTCACTTTAGCGTAAAAGCAGTCCAAGTAAGTGATACTGTGAAAACATTCTAGCAATTTAATAGTACTTCGCCAATTGGGTCCAAACAAGGTATCTTTTCTCTCTCCCTGGACATAACAGAAAACAAAATCAATTTCAAATATAAGAATCAGTTTCAGATATGTTTCACGCACTTTAATCCTTTGGAGCCCGCAAATGAAAGAATATGACATGCATTGAGGAGAAGTTCTAATGTTCTCTCAGTCAAGTGTACCGAGGGATTAACACCCTGAAGTTACGGTTAACCATTATCGCCTTCTGACAAGAAAAAAATAGCTACTCTTCTTATATGATTCAATAGTATATGCTCATTCATTCTTTAACCATGATGTGGGCTCTGTGGGACTCAAAAGTACTCGGCCTAAGTTTTGCGAATACAAATAAAGTTGAAAATGAATATAAATTAGGCCCTACAAGCCTATATATTATGAGATGAAGCCCTGTCATACAATTTCTACCTTTTGAAAAGGAGGAATACATAAGTTAATGTTATTGAGGGCACCAGTGACTACCCAAAAGTAAAGAAAGGTGAACCTAAAACCTAGTTCTTTTTTCTCTAGATTCCGAACCCTTTGTAAGATTGCAGATTATAGGTGTAATTTATTTTTCCACCATGGTATTGCAGATTAGTTTCTCTGGGATGGTGTTTCCTCCAATACTAGCTGCATATTGTGGGCAAGCTGCATACCTGACCAAAAAACCTGGTCATGTGTCCGATACTTTCTACAAGTCAATTCCTGGCAAGTTTTTATATGGGCAACATGGAAGAGGATGACTGATAACATTATCCTATTTAGTTTCTTGTTATCACTTTAAATGTTTGCTCTCTCACAATCATCTTATTGACTGGTATGCAGATCCAATTTACTGGCCAACATTTGTTGTGGCTGTTGCTGCGGCTATTATTGCAAGCCAAGCAATGATATCTGGAGCCTTTGCAATTATCTCTCAGTCCTTAAGACTAGGTTGTTTTCCAAGGGTTAAGGTTGTTCATACTTCTGCCAAGTATGAGGGCCAGGTTTACATACCAGAAATCAACTACTTGCTTATGGTTGCTTGTGTTATCGTCACTTTTGCCTTCAAGACCACTGAAAAGATCGGCAATGCATATGGTAAACTCAAATGACTCTTGGGTTCAGACGAAATATTCACCAATTAGCATGTTTTAACTCCATGTATCAACTAGGGAATTGAAAAATTGTGCAGGCAATGCTCTTCAATGAGATGAGTAATAAGTGCCTTTCTCCAAACAAGGTGAAATTGTGGCTCGTCTGTATATAATTTAGATAACAGAAATAAGAAAAATACAATGTCAAGTTTGTTTTTTCCTGAAAAGGCTGGCAGCATTTGGTAATTATTATGTTCTTGTCTAGTGAAGCAACGAAAAATTAACACCAGAAATTCTATTGCAGGAATCGCCGTTGTGGCTGTAATGGTGATCACAACATGTATGATCACCCTTATAATGCTAGTTGTATGGAAGACAAGCATATGGTGGATTTCTCTGTTCTTTGTGGTGTTTGGTTCTATAGAGTTCATTTATTTATCTTCTGTCCTGTACAAATTCAAACAGGGTGGCTTCCTCCCACTGGCCTTTTCTCTTGTGCTGGTGATAGTAATGGGAATATGGCATTATGTACACAAACAGAGATACATGTTTGAGCTCAATAACAAGGTTTCCAGTGATTACATCCGAGACTTGGCAAAAAACCAGGATCTAATCCGTGTTCCTGGAATTGGACTATTGTACTCTGAGCTTGTACAGGGCATTCCTCCTATATTTCCTCACTTCATCTCCAACATACCCTCCATCCATTCAGTTCTTGTTTTAGTCTCAATAAAGTCCATTCCAATCAGTAAAGTGGCACTGGAGGAAAGGTTCTTATTTCGGCAGGTTGAGCCAAGAGATTACCGAATGTTTCGTTGTGTGGTGAGATACGGATACAAGGATAAGATTCTTGAACCCAAGGAGTTCGAACAACAGCTGGTGGAGCACTTGAAGGAGTTCATCAGGCACGAACACTTCATTCTTGAAGGTGGGCTCAATGAACAAATGGCTGAGCCAATAAACAATGAGCACTCTTCTCCATTAGTGAAAGATGCAAAAGTAAGAGGATCCAGTCCATCCACAGTTCACATTGAGGAATCCTTGCAACAGCAAGACATGTCACGTTTCTCTTCAAGCTCCATTCAGTCATTCAACGCAGCTAAGTCAACACACTCTTCAAGTCGAACCATCACTGGGCGTATCCAGGAAGCTGAAGAAGAGATCCAGTTCGTGCAGAAAGCAATGGACATAGGAGTAGTTTATCTTATTGGAGAAGCAGAAGTGATTGCAAAACAAAATTCATCAGTACTCAAGAAGATTGTTGTCAACTATGCCTACAACTTCCTGAGGAAGAATTTCAGGCAGGGAGAGAAAGTCATAGCAATTCCTCGGACCAGACTTCTGAGGGTTGGAATGACCTATGAGATATAAGATACAAGCCTACATTTAAAAAATCAAAGGTAGTGCTATGCTTTGATACTTCAAAGTTTCTGATAACATTTGTAAGAATTGAATGACCATATGCTATGGTGGATTCGACAATAAGTGGAATCCATATTTCCAATATATATGATGATATGTTAATATCCAGTTTCTTTCAGTATTTGAAAATTGGGAACAAATTTCTATAATGGTAAATCAAGGTCGATAAGGAATTTACAAACCTCCAACTCCTGTTTTTAAATGCCAAGGCAGGCAATAGATCAACGATGTCTACCAAAAAAATTCAACGAAACTGTGAAGACCCTGCCCCATTACCGGGACCCTGTCTTCCAAGGGTTAACCTCCCATTACCGGGATATCACCACCCTCCACCAAAGGATTTCGGCTAACCTGTGGGTCAAACCCCCACAGTAGCCTTTACCTCCGTCCCACATCGGGGAAGGAGTCGTCTCCCCACCCCCATATAAGCCGAAGCACCATATGAGAGCAGTACCCAAGTAGCACAGTGTGGTACTTGGGTACTGCTCTCATATGGTGCTTCGGCTTATATGGGGGTGGGGAGACGACTCTTTCCCCGATGTGGGACAGAGGTAAAGGCTACTGTGGGGGTTTGACCCACAGGTTAGCCGAAATCCTTTGGTGGAGGGTGGTGATATCCCGGTAATGGGAGGTTAACCCTTGGAAGACAGGGTCCCGGTAATGGGGCAGGGTCTTCACATAAAAGGCGCCTTTTATGTGAAGACCCTGCCCCATTACCGGGACCCTGTCTTCCAAGGGTTAACCTCCCATTACCGGGATATCACCACCCTCCACCAAAGGATTTCGGCTAACCTGTGGGTCAAACCCCCACAGTAGCCTTTACCTCCGTCCCACATCGGGGAAGGAGTCGTCTCCCCACCCCCATATAAGCCGAAGCACCATATGAGAGCAGTACCCAAGTAGCACACTGTGGTACTTGGGTACTGCTCTCATATGGTGCTTCGGCTTATATGGGGGTGGGGAGACGACTCCTTCCCCGATGTGGGACGGAGGTAAAGGCTACTGTGGGGGTTTGACCCACAGGTTAGCCGAAATCCTTTGGTGGAGGGTGGTGATATCCCGGTAATGGGAGGTTAACCCTTGGAAGACAGGGTCCCGGTAATGGGGCAGGGTCTTCACAGAAACCTTGTTCCGACGAGTTTGTAGACAACAAAAATGGACAACACGTCAATTCATGGTGTTAAGTCAGAGGATTAACATAATATTAGACAAAAACAGAGAGAGGTCAAAAATTTAATCTAACTCTCATACATTACTTGTATTTATAGTTAACTTACAATAATAAGAAAGACAAATACACCCTCTTATATTTACACATAATACCCTAACACTCTTAACAAGTTACACATACTACCCTAATACTCTTAACACTCCCCTTCAAGCTGGACTATATATATCATATAATTCAAGCTTGGAACAAATCGTTGTAAGACGCGTACGACTCATTATTTTAGTAAACATATCTGCAAGTTGATTTTCAAATTCACAAATGGAGTCGTAATCTCCTCAGCTACTATCTTATCCTGAATAAAGTGACAATCAACCTTAATATATTTGGTTTTCTCGTGAAACATTAGATTGACAGCGATGTGGAGAGTTGTCTGGTTGTCACAGAACAACTATAAAGGAGGTTGAACTGAAAATTCAATTTCCTGGAGGAAGTGTAGTAGTCAAGGCATCTCACTTGTCATATGCGTCATTGCCCTATACTCAGCATCAGCACTGGATCTTGCTACCACAAATTGTTTCTTACTTTTTCATGAGACAACGTTACCTCCTAAGAAAGTATAATAACCAGTGGTTGATCTCCGATCAGAATAAGAGCTAGCCCAATCAGCATCTAAGAAACCTTCCACTCTAAGATGTCCATTAGCTCGATATAACAGTCTAAGTCTAGGAGCACGTTTGAGGTATCGCAGAATACAAGTAATTGCCTCTCAATATGGTAGTCTAGGACACTCCATGAACTGACTTACTATACTGACTGCATAGGAAATATCCGGTCGAGTAATAGTGAGATAATTGAGCTTCCCAACCAATCTACGATACAGTTCCAGATTCTTAAATAGTGCATCATCATCAATCAATAGTTTATGATTCGGATTTATAGGAACATCAATCGGTTTGCCACCCAACAAACCTGCTTCCTCTAGCATGTCAAGTATATATTTCCTTTGGGATAAACAAATATCATGTTTAAATTGAGCTACCTCAATACCCAAGAAATACTTGAGTTTTTCTAAATCCTTAGTATAAAATCGATCTTGTAAGAAGATTTTTAACTTGGCAATCCCCTCAGAATCATTTCTAGTAATTATAATATCATCTACATAGACCACCAATAGACCATATACAACATCCTTCTGTCTATGAAATACAGAATGGTCTGTCTGACATCGAAGAAGACCAAACTCTAAAACTGCATCTGAAAACTTATTGAACCATGCCCTCGGTGACTGCTTCAAACCATACAAAGATTTCTTTAACCGACATACACTTTTACCACACTCTCCCTGAACAGTAAACTCAGGTGGCTGTTCCATGTATAGCTTTTCAACCAAGTTACCATGTAGGAAGGCATTCTTAACGTCTAACTGAAACAAATGCCAATCAAGATTAGCAGCCAAAGAAAATCATGATATGAATAGAGGAAATTTTGGCAACCGGAGAAAAAGTCTCCTCATAATTAACATCATAGGTCTGAGTAAAGCCCTTTGCAACAAGTCGGGCTTTGAGATGCTCCACATAACCATCCAGATAAAATTTAACAGTATACACCCAACGACAACTAACAGTTCGTTTACCACGAGATAAAGGAATGAGATCTCAAGTCCCATTATGATGTAAGACATCCATCTCATTTTCTATAACTTTCCTCCAACCCGGATCAGATAACGTATCCTATAAATGCTTAAGAATAGATATAGTAGATAATTGAGAGGTAAAACAAGAGGAGACAAGAGACAAGATATCATATAAAACAAAACGAGCAATGAGATGATTAGTAACACATGAACGAGTACCTTTTTGAAGAACAATAGGTAGAGAGTCTAAATTACCTGATATATCAGGATTAGAAGGCGGCAAAGAAGATGGTATGGGCACCTTAGTCGATGGGTGAGGACAACGAGAATATACACAAAGAGGTAAAATAGATGGTAACACAGTGGATAGCGGAATATTGGAAGGTGAGGGAAGAGATAGTGGCACAAGAGATGACCCAAAGTCCAGATCCACAGGCTGAAAAGGTGCTGAAAATATAGAACAGATTCCTCAAAGTTAACATCGGCACTAGTAAAGTATCGTTGCAGAGAAGGACTGTAGCAACGATACCCTTTCTATGTGCGGGAGTAACCAAGAAATACACATTTGGTAGCTCGAGGATCAAGTTTATCAAACCCGGGGACCCAAATTGTGAACATAATAGACACATCTAAAAATCTAAAGAGTTAGGAAAAATAAGGACTTATCAGGAAAAATGATAGAATATGGAATTTGTCTATTTAACACAGAGGATGACATACGATTAATAAGGTGGCAAGCAGTAAAAACAACATCACTCCAAAAATATCAGGCAATATGCATCTGGAATAATAGGGCACGTGTGACTTCCAACAAATGACAGTTCTTGCTTTCAACAATACCGTTCTGTGGAGAAGTGTAAGCATAGAAAGTCTGATGAATAATGTCTGTTTTACTAAGGTAAGCTGAAAAAGGATCAAATTCATATTCCCGATCATTATCAAAACGTAAAATACATATACGACACCTAAACTGAATTTTTATTTCCTTACGAAAGTTCTCAAATATAGAGAATAATTCAAACCAAGTTTTCATCAAAAATAATCAAGTCACACAAGAATAGTCATCCACAAATGTCACAAAATAAGGATATTTATTAGATGAAATATTCTTTATTGGACCCCATACATCAAAATGTACCAACTCAAATTGACTAGACACACGATTATTGACTCTAGATTAAAATGACACACGGTGATACTTACTAAGTCGACAAGTTTCACAAGACAAAGACGACACACAACTCAAACTGGGAACTTGGTGTTTCAGATTCTAGAGAAAGGGATGTCCAAAATGACAATGTCATTAGAAATGAGACAACGAGGTCTGTGGAGCTCGAGTAGGTGAATCAAAATCAAAGTAATATAGGCCACCAGCTCCATGCCCCATACCAATCTTCTCTCTTTGTCTTGAGATCCTGAAAGAAACAATAAGAAGAATAAAATGTTACAGAACAATTGAGAGAACGGATAATTTTACTAATAGAAAGTAAACTAAAAGGAAACTGAGGAATAAATAACATAGAAGATAGAGACATATCAGAACTCAAGTGAGTAATCCCTAGACTTGAAACTTTAGAACAAGTACCATTAGCAAGAGTAACATTATGTGTGAAAGTAATAGACTGATAAGTAAAAAAAATATCAGACACATTAGTCATGTGGTTAGAGGCGCTATAGTCTATGATCAAAGGACTGCGAGTGGAGGACAATAAACAAGTAGAAGTAGTACCTGACTGGGCAAAAGTAGTAGTGGAGTGAGATGGAACAGCTTGTTGCTGGGATAGGAACTAAGCATACTCCGCTCATGTAATAGTAACCGACCCAGTGTTTGGTGGAGCTAACCAAGGTATGGAAGTAGCAACAGAGTTCATGAGACCATTGATAAGAGTTGGAGGAGTAGAGGTAGGTGGCAAAGATGGAGTAAGAGCCTTGGTATCTTGCTTAGGTTCCATAATAGTGCAGCAAATAGGAAAATAAGAAGTGTTGTAATGCTGAACCAGAAGAAAGGAGATTGTTGGAAGGCTGAATCGGGCTAGAGAACCACTGAACCGGATTGGTTGAGCCCTCTGGACCATTGAATCGGACTTGCTGAGGCTGCTAGAAGCCTGAACTGGACCTGCTGAGGCTGTTGGAAGCCTGAACCGGATAGCCGTTGAACCAGAGTAAAAATTGATTGAACCAGTCTAACCCGGTGCAGAACTATCTAAACCGGACCCAAGAAACTTACTAGACCACTAAACCGGAGCAATAACTGAATGGACCGGTCTGAACCAATTTGAACTGCAGGAAGTAGCTGAACCGGGATCAGAACTGGGTTGGACGACTGGAGTGGGCTGGACCCAATATGATTGGGCTAGACTTAAAACAATTTAAACTCGTGAATGGAATTGAGTTGGACCGAAGTGGGCTGGACCCGATTTAAATCCATTGACTCGAGTCTTTTATCCAAACCTGTGAAGTCGGGTTTAGACCTTTTCTATTTTGTAGATTAGGGTTCCAGTAAACCCTAGTCTTCGACTGCGCCTCGACCACCACAACGAACGACAGACCACCACGATGGCCACACCACAACAGCGCTACACCATGAGGAAGAAATCAACAATACACCACCACAACGAACACAAAACGACGGCGAACGATGATTAACAATACCACACCACCACCACTAGCGACAATATTACCATAGTAATGGAGATCAACCACAACAACTGTACCACCACCACTGTAGCTTCGACGAACAACAATACAAATCAATCACAACAACTGTACCACCATCATTGTAATTTCGACGAACAACAGTACCACCACTACAACCAGAGTTAATTTATTCAAAAAATATATTTAGGATTGTAAGTGCTCTGATACCATGTTAAGTATAGAGGATTAACATAATATTTGAGAGAAACATAGAGAGGTCAAAAATTTAACCTAGCTCTCATACATCACTTTTATTTATAGTTAACTTACAATAATAAGAAAGACAAATACACTCTCTTATATTTACACATAATACCCTAGCACTCTTACCAAGTTACACATACTACCCTAATACTCTTAACACGTGACTTAATATTTGAGCTGCCTGTGAAAACCATATTCAACGCATGTCATGAATGCTTTTTCAACCCTGTCGAGAGAGGCGGAAAAAGAATGAACAACCTGTCCAGCTCCTGGCAATGCATTAAAGCAGCATTCAAGTGTTTCAAAGAGCTTGTACATGTCTTGATCTGCAAATTTGTTATTTGCTTATAATCAGTAACCACCAGTCCGGTAACACAAATGAAATGAAAAAATGAGATTTTTTGTTAATGAACAAATGAGATTTTTTGTTAGTGTACAAATTTCTTGCTGAGCATTCTGAAAAAAGAGTCCAAAAATGTTTTCCTACTGGAAAGGGTTTTTTTTTCTTTCCGAAATCATTTTTCCTGCCCTCCTCCCTCCACTCCAGACAGTCTACTGAGGGGTTCCTGGGAAGCCAATTTCAATCAAAGTAAAGAGTTTGTGGAGAGAGTGCATATTCATAGAAGGTAGCATCCAGTTATTGCCTTATAGGATTTGGATACAGACATACACTTGTGCTGAGTTTTCTTTCTAAGGTGGAATAAATTGAGGAGATTATTGATGACTTGAAAATTGAGATTTTTTTACTTTCAGATTTCTTTTTCTTCGTAAATTCATTATGTCTAGTTGTTAAAAATTGGGAGTTCTGTCAAAAAAGTTGTTTTCGCTTTGAGGTTAACGCTTTTAGATAACTTTGAGGATTTCAACTTCTTATTCATGATTCACTTTTTCAGACAAGGAAACACACAAGTTCTCAGACTTTCACAAAAGAAACGGCAATTCCATCTAATTTACCTTCATATTCTATTGTATGCATATGAACTTTTCAGCATGAAGAATATAATAATATCCAAATATCCAAAAATAGATGACAAACAAAGCATGACAAACACAAATATGCTGACAGGTGACGGATATCCAGGGTAGATCATGGAAGCAGGTACGAACTTCATCTCAAAAAAAGAACTAAATGGAAGGCAAAGTTGTCTTTTTATATGGATCTCTCCTTTGTAATTCTCTTCCATGTCCTATATGAATTGTCTCTAACCCTTCTCGTCATGTTTTCAACTAATTCCTTTTGTTACTAGATGAACGGCAAGGCACTTTAGGGGATCCATAAACTTGAACCACAACACCGTTAGCTTAAAGTGATTTCCTCTGAATTGGTCTTGATCTTAAATCGTTAGGATATGTAATTTTTTTCCCCAATTCCATCAACAAAACAAGGCAGTCCTCAGGTGTGGTTTGGTAATTTTGAGGGGTGATGCATTCTTCACCAACTGAAAAGGACAAACAGAGCAAACCCCTACGTCCATTTTCAGCTATTAAACTAACTGTATAGCATCCAAAGATGTTGCCATCAGTAGAATTGTGTGGCATTATAATATCAACTAATGGACCATGGTCTATGATTGATGTTGGCATGGAATTTTTTCTTCCTTTTGTCTGCTACCATACTCCCTCCTTCTCTAAGCATATAACAGCAGACATAGACCCTCTTCCTAAAATGGGACTGGATCAAAGACTTACAAACATGTCAAACTTTATTGAGGAATTTGAAGAAGAAGACGAGCAATTCCAGAGCACTCTAGGTACACAATCGTCCAATGGGAGTCCTAATCCTACCGAAAATGGTGGTGATGGTTCCACTCATGCCATCACAACATCAAAGAAGAAACGAAATCTCCCAGGAAATCCAGGCAAGCAAACACACTGTTTCTTTGTTTAAATGGGGTGCGCTCTTTAATTACCCAAAGTTTGAACCAAAATGGGTTGCATATACTTTTGAAGTAGGGGGTACAAGCCATATGAACTTTGGCAAAACATAAATTCGGATTCTGAATTGTTAAGACATATAATGGCACTTAGCAAACATGAGATTAAGACGACGCTTGAAATTCAAGTCTTGCTAGTGGTAGGTTTATAACCATAGTTATCACATGCTATCATTTCAACAATTTTACAAATGGTGGCAAATTCAATGAAAAATGACACCTATAAAGTCGTCATGTTATCAATTTTCAAGCTTCAAAAGGAAAATATAAGCGAATGTTAAAAAAAAAAAAAGGTGGGATGAGATCATACAATGTCTCATGTGCTTTCTTTGTTTCATGTTCCTTCTTTTTCTTTTGTTGGACTTTTAGCTCAAAAAAAACTAATCAATCCTACACATGACAGCTGCTGTATAGAGTAATCCTTTAGGTAGAAATTTCTACTTCCCAAGCACCCAAAAAAAAAAAAAGACATTTCTATTTCCCCCTAGTAAAGTTCACGGTAGTTGTCTTCCAAAGCATATATTGGATCTGCTAATTTATACTGTCAAAACAACCTTTTTCTTGTACTTATTTGGAAATATTCAGACCCTGATGCAGAGATTGTGGCGTTGTCACCAAGGACTCTGATGGCAACAGATAGGTACATTTGTGAGGTCTGTCATAAAGGATTCCAGAGAGATCAGAACCTTCAACTCCATAGGAGAGGCCACAATTTGCCATGGAAGCTGAAGCAAAGGCCGAGCACACAAGTGAAGAAGAGGGTGTATGTGTGCCCTGAACCAAAGTGTGTGCATCATGACCCAAGTCGGGCACTAGGTGACTTGACTGGCATAAAGAAACACTTTCGTAGAAAGCATGGAGAGAAGAAATGGAAGTGCGACAAGTGTTCAAAGCGTTACGCTGTTCAGTCTGACTGGAAGGCACACGCAAAAATCTGTGGGACACGTGAATATCGATACGATTGTGGGACTATTTTCTCAAGGTGAAGATATGCTTTTTTGTTTACATTTATGTTTTGTGTACTTAACTTTTTTTTATATTGAATCTGTTAAGCAGGAAGGACAGTTTTGTTACACATAGAGCCTTCTGTGATGCATTGATGGAAGAGAACTGCAAGATGAACCAGACCCTCGCTACCATGGGAGGAATGTTACCTAACCAACCCCAAGAATTATTCTCTTCCTCAATGCTCACCTCTGACTCCTGCACAAACTTAAACACCATGATGCATCTATCCAGTTCTCACTAGAACGCTGATAATTCAGTAAAGCCATCATCTTCTTTTGACTCACATTGGGTAGTCATGATATCTAGCAATTTGGATCCAAGTTTCAATCAACTAGCAGCATGTTCAAGCTTTAGCTCCGTACGTGGACCAAATAGCTCTCCCCTGACAGTAGTTGGCTCTGCTTTCTTATCAGCAACTGCCTTGTTTCAGAAAGCTGCAGAAATGGGTGCAAAGATCAGTAGTGACAATTCAATCGCCCCAGTTCCCCTTAGAGGATTTACAGGGTACTGTACTAGCAATATGAACTCATCTGGCTCAGTTCAGGAGGCGTCTTCAATTGGTGGTGGTCCTAATATGGGGCATATTCCCGTAACTACCAATGGTTCATATGCTGGAAATCCAAAAACTTTTGGCAAGATAACAGATGCACGAAATCAAAGAGGATAGTGACACTGTTTCTCACACTGGTTTATATGATTGTTCTTTTTATTATATGCATTCGTCAAATGGATACTCTGGTGGTGACCTCTGGAAAGAGAAGTAGTAACGGGAGGAAGTGAAAAAACGACTGTGGACTTCTTAGGGGTAGAGCCAGCCGGTCATTCAAATTTTGCAAAAAAAGGAAGCTATGATGGCAACTTAATGGGCTTAGGATACTAAAATGGGCAGCAGAGCATACACGACATGCGGTCAGAGTTGTAGGCACGTTGCAGTTATTGATAACTTTGTGTTGCTCATCTTGCATTTTCTTTCTCTTTTTTTTTTTGCCTCCAATTATCTCTTATTTTGCTACTATGTGTATCACAAAGAGTGAACTTTTCCTGTTCTGTTCAGTTCTCTAAGGACAGGAAAAAAAAAAACAAGAAAAAACTTGCTCTATCTAATTGGTTTTACATGTCAAGAAGATAACATCATCAAGGATTCTGATTTAGTTGAACGAAGGAAATTTTGGGCAGATTAGAGTGAAGAAGACTGGAAAATATGTGAAAACTTTTAAAGCAAATATACTATACTTTTAAACTTATTTATCAAACTACATATATTTTTTAAAACTAGATTCAATAACCCCGATTTATTAAAAAAACGGAGTCAACAATCCCCCTTTTTCCTTTTTTTTTTTAAAAAAAAAAACAAGAAGACAGTGGGAAAAGAGTGTTTAGTAAACACGCTTTTTACAATTATTCTAACTAGCCTCCTTACTAAACATGCTTTTCCCACTGGATTCCACAGTTTAGTAAATTTTATGCTTTTTGATGGGTCAAGTCTAAAGGCCCAATTTCAAGAGGTCCAACTAGTCAAACCCAAAGGAGTCTGCACTTGGTCAAGTTCATCAGACTCCACGAGTTATATCAGTAGAGGAGCATGCAAGGTCATCCAATAGCCTCTTCCTCTACCACCTTGGAGTAAGGAGGCTCATCCTAGCCACTTTGGAGTCAGGCTCATCAGAAAGCTACGCCACGTCATCAAGAGAGCATCGGGAGCCACACCCTCACCGTTTTGGAAATAGTCAGCCCTCACCTCACCTCGGACTGAGTCTTGTGGAGAGCACCTCAACCACGTTGCCCGTTGAGAAGAAGTCGTGAGCTCCACCAAAATAGTTGTTTAGTTGCTGCAAAATCGCCCCAACTTGTTAGGGGGCCACTATAAACTGTAAGCTCCACCAACACTTTGGGGGCAGGATCACACTTTTACTTGAGCACGACTCTCCTCCCCCTCTCAAAGGCTTGTACTTTCTGCTCCCTACACCCTTGAGCTAATAAAGTATTAAGCGACCAAGACCATTCAAAAGTGGACGTAGGTCACGATTGACCGAACTACTATAAATCTTGTCTCCTCAATCTCTCATTAGTTTTAATTACTGCATTTACTTTTTATCACTTGACAGGTGATGTGCAAAGCCATTTTGTGCATCATCAGTTTGACGCCATTAGTGGGAAAGACCAAATTTTCACTTCTAATCAATCTCTGTGTTGAACTAATGACGATCACCACCAGATCGATGAATCAACCTGAGGACAACCCTCCACGAGAGGAGGAGGTTGCTCCTCCACCTACCAACTCTATCCCAAATGCTCCAATTCCAAATCCTCAGCAAATGTTGTAGACTATGCAGTAGCTAGTGCCTCAAAACCAGCAGATCCTACAACTTATGCTCACCGGACAAGGAGAAGTACAACTTGGAGGAGCACAGCTTGGAGGACCTCAAGGAGCTCCATGCCTTGGACCTCAAGGAGCTCCAGGACCTAGACATCAAGGAGCTGCACGCCCTGGACATTAAGGAGCTCTAGGCCCTAGACATCAAGGAGCTGCACGCCCTGGACATCAAGGAGCTCCACAACTTGCTGCCCCATTTGGGCACCCATGCAGGTCTGGGTGCCTCCTTTGGAGTCCCTTTGGGCGCCCCAGATAGGGGGACTCATCATAAGAGACCTCCAGCTCCTCTTACTTCCCATAGTGAATACCCTCATCTCCAAGAAGATAATGACGAAAATCAAAGTATGGAGTATGAGAGTAATTTTCATGATCATTCCAGAGGAGTCCCCAATCATTAGGACGAAAAAATTAAGAAAGTACAAAATCAACTAGATGACGTCTTCAATGCCATGAAGGCGCAAGAACCTGAGATAATGGAGTACCTCGTAAGACGGATAGACACGCCTTTCAAACCTGACGTGGCGAACTACCCCCCTTCCTCAAAAGTTTAAAATGACATCCGTGGAGACCTTTGACGGAACGAATGATCCACTTGATCATCTCGAAACCTACAAGACCCTAATGTAACTGCACAACGTCCCCGACGAAATTATGTGTAGGGTATTCCCAATTATTTTGAAAGGATCAGGGCGACAATGATTCGCCAAACTCACCCCGGCCTCCATAGGCTCCTTCGCCGAATTGAGTAGATCATTTGTGGCACAGTTCATTGGTGGACGCCGCCAACAAATGCCTGCCACCCATTTGCTCAATATAAAACAAAATCAAGACGAGAGTCTAAGGAGTTACCTCACTCGTTTTAACGAGAAGATCCTCCAAATCGAGGAGCTCAATGACAAAGTCACCATGACTGCCTTTCTGGGAGGCTTCCACTCATCTAGATTCCTTTTTTCAGTAATAAAGCGAAAACCAAAGAGCATGTCAGAACTATTGGCAAATGCTCAAAAAATATGAATGTTGAGGAAATCAATAGGTCTAGGCGAGGTGAATCATCTCGCAGATCACCAGAAGCTTGATTTGCCTCTGCACTGTTCTCAAATAGGCAGCTTATCTCCAGCTTAGCGACTCTCTCACGGGTTGCCAAAAAAGCTTGGCCTCTACACTGTTCTCAAACAGGCAACCTATCTCCAGCTTAGCGGCTCTCTCACGGGTCGCCAACACAAGCTTGGTCTCTGTACTGTTCTCAACACAAGTAGCCTATCTCTAGCCTAGCGACTCTCTCGAGGGTCGCAAAAAAAGCTTGGTCTCTGCACTGTTCTCAAATAAGCAGCCTATACCTCAAGCTTAAAGACTCTCTCATGGGTCATCAAAAGTTAGGTCTCAAAAGGTGTAGCTCTCTCACGAGTAGTTTCCAACTCTGTCTTTGTTCTCTCGTAAGCAGCATACCTCTCTCTCCAGGTAATTATGTGAGATATTTTAATGTTTGGAATAATATTTTTTTTGTCATCACAAGAAGGCTCTCCCAAGGTAGCCCCAAGCTTGCCCAATGCTCCCAAGGCATCCCTACAAAAGCGCCCAAACGAGGCAGCCCAGCTCTTGGAGGAGTGTCTGATCCTATGTGCTCGCCTAAACGAGGCAGCCCAGCACCTGGAGAGGGGTCTGATCCTATGTGCTCGCTCAAACGAGGTAGCCCAGCACCTAGAGAGGTGCCTGACGCTTTATGCTCGCCCAATCGGGGCAGTTTAGCACCTGGAGAGGTGCCTGACCACCTTTGCCTGCCCAAACGGGGTAGCTCAATGTTGTCTGGCCTCTAAAGTTGCACAAAATAGCTTCAAAGGCACCCAGATCAGTGCTTGAAGTGGCGCCCGAATCTGCCCCTGTGCCCAGGCTGTTGTCCAGCTCCCCTGCTGCATGCCCGTTGGCCTGGGCAGCCCCCATTATGGCCTACACGCGGCTATCTGCGCGTCTGGTTGCTATTTTGACCGTAAATTTTACTCCATAACTCTAAAAATGGGCTTCTTATATATCAAAACGAAGCTCTTGGCGAGCCCTACAAGACTAGTAGCCTTTAGCTAAGATTGATGGTATAAAAAGTCCAAAAAGGCTTAGAAATAGTTGTTTTAGCCTCCCAAAATTTTTCAAGGAAAAACAAATTTGTTCGCCCAGGACACCTCCAACTCGCCCAAGACACCCACTGTTCGCCCAAATCAGTGCCTGCTCACCCAAATCGCTCACCGAGTTTTTTGCTTGGAAATTTGACTGTAGTTTTTGCTCCGTTATTCAAAATGAGGCTTATTATATATCAAATCGAAGCTCTCGGTGAGCTCTACAACCCATACAACCTTTGGCTATAAGTGATGCTGTAAAAATCCCAAAAAAGGTCTAGAAACAGATGTTGTGGCCTCTCAAAAAATTTTCAGTTGCACCGATCAGCCGAAAATTCAAACTCAACCGAATGTCCTCCTCTCTAAGTTCTATTGGACACAGGGCATTGGGGGCAAATAATGGGCCAAGCCCAAGGGCCCAATTACAAGAGGTCTAACTAGCCAAGTCCAACAGAGTTTTGCACCCGGTCAAGTTCATCAGGTTCCACAAGTTATATCAGTAGAGGAGCATGCAAGGTCATCCAATAGCCTCCTCCTCTACCACCTTGGAGTAAAGCTCATCATAGCCACATTGGAGTAAGGAGGCTCATCATAGCCACCTTGGAGTAAGAAGGTTCATCCTAGCCACCTTCGAGTTAGGCTCATCAGGAAGCTACGCCACGTCATTAAGAGAGCATCGGGAACCACACCCTCACCGTCTTGGAAATAGTCAGCCCTCACCTCACCTCGGACTGAGTCTTGTGGAGAGCACCTCAACCACCTCGCTTGTTGAGAAGAAGTCGTGAGTTCCACAAAAATAGTTGTTTAGTTGCTGCAAAGTCGCCCCAACTTGTTAGAGGGCCACTATAAATTGTAAGACCCACCAACACTTGGGGGGCAAGATCATACTTTTACTTGAGCACGACTCTCCTCCCCTCTCAAAGGCTTGTACTCTCTACTCCCTACACCCTTGAGCTAATAAAGTATCAGGCGATCAAGGCCATTCAAAAGTGGATGTAGGTCACGATTGACCGAACTACTATAAATCTTGTCTCCTCAATCTCTCTTTAGTTTTAATTACTGCATTTATTTTCTATCACTTGACAGGTGGTGTGTAAAACTATTTTGTTTATTATCACTTTCGATGATAATCTTTCAATGATGAGAGATCAAGGTTATAGCCTTCAACTTGGCAGCGTGGGGTGGGTG